TTTATAATATTTTATTCAGATTTGCATTTCAAAGGGAAGAAAAGCACTTCTACAGTAGACATTACTTGATCAAATTTGCTTCTCTCGAGAGGGAGAATGAAATTTTGCAATAAAATGATATATAATCTGTTGCGGACGTTTTACGTAAAAAAACTTCTTTGTTAAATCGGGCCTCATATACGTACAAAATCCATTTAATATCGATTAATCGATTTGGAAAATTAAAGAATTTGCATATAGGATATCTACTTGTCGAATGCACAAAGCAATCAGTGATGCCTTTGTAATTATGCATGATGCGGTAGATCATGCAGTTTAAAGATCTGCAAAGATGGAAATTAAATTTAAGAAAAATTAACAAAATCGATATAATAAAATCATAATCAAGTAACTAAGTTAAAGATTCGATTACTTCATAGACAAAATTAAGGAGTTGTATGGAATGATAATATTATAAGTAAATAAAATCTGTTTAAACAGATATTTCTCCAAATGCAATCTTGGTACTGTTAATTAATATTTGTTGACTAGAAATTAGTATATAGAAGTCGGTAAATAATATTATATTATGATTTAATGCAAATTAATTATTTAGAGGAAAAAAAATTAATGATCGAGTCCATTTTTATCTACTCATTATAAAAAAAAAAAGTTAACAACACGTAAATTAATAAATACATTAACAAAGCTATTTAAATCTATTAAAAATAAATAATCTAATTAAAGCTATTTAAAGCTATTTAAAGAATCATTGTGAATTGTGTGCAATTGAATAACATTTTTAACAAGAAAATGGATTTTAAGGTAAGAAATCGATAGATATATATGCTATATATAATACTACTTACCGTTAATGAATGTTAGAAATTAAAAAAATTAAATACAAATAATACCGTCATACATTGTCCCGTAAATAATGTTATTGTAGTTGGTTATTTTTTTTTTTTTTTTTGACAGACGAGAATTTATAATGATATTTTTGCATCGCTAAATAATTCAATGTAGAAAAGATTTTTCAAAATACTGTCTTCATATGTAAGACATCAAAAGTTTTACAGCCCAACTGACGCGAATAAAACTACAAATAGCCATATATCCCGGGAGTCTTCCCTAAAAAGGATAAAGTAAGAGTAACCCCGAGAAACTCGATATTTTTATTTTCACAGCTGCGCCTTTAGTTTTTAGTCGGCCAACTTTTTGTCACGGTACGGTGTCAGATAAGTAAGCGCAATATGATCGCAAATCTATGCGAATTCAATAAAGATTTTGCTTCAAATAATTTTGCTGCAACTATTAAAATTCTAATTTAAAACATTAATATATTTTATAAATTCATGTAAACGTCATTTTTTTTGTTTTTTCTTTTGTTTTGTTTTGTTTTTTTATTTATTTATTTTTTTTTTTTTATTTTTTTTTTTGAAGAGAGAAAAAGAGAAAGTGTAACGTGATACATCATAGGAACATAATAGCCGTAAAACACTCGTGTATTTGATCCGATTTGAAAAAATTCTTTCACACACTTATTACACAAACTGGGAGCCTTGAAAACGTATAAATAAGAAATATGATCTTGTTTATCTATCACCTTAAAATCTTCCCATATGAAAGATCAGTAGATTAGTCGTACGACTTTTTGTTCCTTTTATTTGTATTTTATTTTTTTATTTTTTTTTTATTTTTTTTTTTTTTTTGTTTTTAACTAAATTTAATTGACTAAAAATTGTTTTACATTTTTTGATAATTTTTTTAATTTATGTTCTTTAAACATAATCGAAGTTTACATTGTTTTAAATTATTTTTACCATTTTGATAAACCTGCTAAAACATTATTAACAGAAACGCAATTATATATATATATATATATATATATATAAATATATATTATTAAGCTATCGAGTTTAAACATAATTAAAGAAACGCGTTGAATGTATTTATTTGTGTTGAGTATAGAGCAAACGAACTATAATCATGAAAGTGTAAAAACAGATGTTCCATTGTGCTTTCATGAAAAAATCCCATCGATTATTAATGTAGAATTCATAAAATCGGCTTATACCGAAGAAAAAGAGATAACATAATTTCATTCAAATGCATAACCATGTTAAATTCAAATTAATCATTACCATGCATAGCACACAAATACATTGACATAATAGTGAAAAGGGAAAAGCCGATATTTTAAAAATTTTATTTGAATTGATTTCCGTTTATTTAAATAAAAATATTGTCGATTCACGATCATATATTTTTCTCAAATAAACGTATTTTTTTATAAGGTAAGATAGACTTATCCGTAATTATTCAAATAGAAAGACAAAAGTGTAAAGTGATAGTACCATGTAAAAAAAAAAAAAAAAAAAAAAAAAAAAAATCAAACAAAGAAACAAAGAAACAAACAAAGAAACAAACAAACAAAAGATGAGGAATATTGTTAGAAAATTATTTTCTAACCCGATACAAGACTCCGTGCAAACAACTCATTTCAACTATTTCAACCAATAGGGAGAGGATTTATGCTGAAGATAAAATGAAATAGGCGCCACTGTAAAAATACGTGGGTGAAATTAGCGATTGAACAAGGAGCAATTGTAAAGTGCGCAAGTTCCCTTTATTTAATATTCCTGAGAAGATATTGCAAGATAAATGGACGAGTTCGTGCGTATTTTTTTTTTTCCCCGAGAAGATAAGACGCCGATCTCAGAGGACGAAGAGCGCTGAATAAATGAGTGGAGAAGAGTCGTTGTAGGCAAAGTGTACATTACCTCGTATTGACCTGCGCTGGGGACTCTCAGCCTCGACTCACGTTTGTTCTCGCAACGCCTCCGTTACGGCCCCTCCGTGAGGTCCGTCCTATCACAAGTCCTTTTCGCAAGACGAGGTACCTTAAGGATAAAGAGAAGTGCTTTGAGACCAGATGGAGCAGAAGACGAATAGAAGATTTCTGCGTAGCAGGAGCTTCATCGACATCGCCAACGGAGAAAATTAGTGCGCCATCCCTTCCGGCAACCGTTGCGAGGGATTTCCACAAAACAATTCACCCTTTTCACGACAAAGGTACATTATAAACATTGCTAGGAAAAGATCCTTCTGTGCCGGAGACACACTCTCGTTTCGTGTGGCTTCATATTACAGTCATGTATCAAATTGCGTATATATTTTCAGCATCTTTGTGCTTTAATATTTCAACTTTCAATTGTAAAATTTCGTAAATTTTGTTTATATATATATATATATAAATATTGTTTTTCTGTAGCATCGAACAATTTTAATGCGTATATATTTTCTTTTTCAACTGAAATTCATTTGCTTGTCGTGTCTCAGAATCATCATTTTATTTAAACATAAAATATTTCTTAAATATTATATAAATTAAAATAATAACTAAGAAAGGAAGATTTCTTTTATTTCAGCAGTAATTAATCGAATATAATATTAACATGAAGAAGAGAAGTGGAAAAGTGAAAGGGTGAAACTATCTCATTTTTCAAGCCAATACTCACGATATTCTTAATAGTCTCGTTTTTTTTTTGTTTTTTTTTTTGTTTCTTTTTTTTACTATCGCATTTCTAACAAATATATCCGGCTTTAGAAATATAACTTACAACTTATTTATCATATTTAATCTATGCGCATCATATTAATGATCTACATATCAGGTCATTTAATTATAAAAACGAATATCAAGTAAATATTTCATAATACTCTTCCATTAACGTAAATAAAATTCATATTATGTTATTAACTTATGGTTTATATATTAATAATTTTTTAAACGAAAAATTTCTTTCTCTTTATTTTATAATTTACAAGTAAATATATCCTTCTATTATTTGTTGTAGCGTAAAGTTTGATTGACAAACTCGTTTTTCCAGCAACTTGCCCTGTTAAATTATGAGAAAAAATTTTTTCTTTAAAGACTGTATAATAAGATCATTCGAATGTTGAAAGTTACTCGATTAGCGTTGTAAATAAAATTACTTTCTATAAACTTTATAAGCGTAATAACTATCAATACACCAAAGTATTATATTCATAGACATAATTCTTGATAATTCTATAAATGAAACATTTTATTATTGTTAGCGTGAACAAATGTTCAGTAAACTATATATACCATATCTATTATAATCAATACTTTAACGAATCCTTTAAAATTATAAAATTATTTATGATGTTGGTTGACATCGATACTTTGAATATAAAAATGAGTGACTGTTAATTAATGTATACATATCTTAATCTTAACTTAGTTAATTCATTAATAAAATTCCCTTTTTCTATTGAATATATTTTAGCTAAGCTTAAGCTCTCTTTTTATATTGAATATAATTTAAACTAAATAATTGCATAAAATTGATATTATTATCCTGCAATTTTCAGTACTAAATAAAATTTATATAATCAATTATTTTCATTATTCAGCTAAAACTTAATTTTCATACGTAAATATAATATCTCTATCGTATTTAAAATTTCATTCAAAAAGTTCTCTTAAAAATATTCCCCTTTCTCTCTCTCTCACTCTCTCTCTCACTCTCTCTCTCTCTATCTATCTATCTAAGAACTTGCAAATTTGCTATAAAAAAAGTTTATCTTTTCTTCTTTTTATACAACATACATTTCGATCAATGTGATGTTAAGTACACGAATTAACTCAATAAATGGTAAAATAAATAAGAGTAACAATACAATACAATTTTCTTTTAAGTATCGGATATCGCGTCAGAAATTAAAAATGGAGTTTACAATAACTTACATTTTAACTTTTACGAATTTAGAAATAAATTTTTTGATGCTTGACAAGCGTTGTATAATTTCATGGATAATAATCGTTGTAAATCGTGGTAAATAATTTATTTTTCTCATCTTTTTATTCATTAAAATGTTAATATATATATATATATATATATATATATATATATATATATATATATATGAATGAACATTTATCGGTGTTATAACATACAGATTTTCTTTAAAGCTATAAATATTTATTTCAGTGGCAGCAGCAGTTAAACGTCATTTACGAAACGGGATATACGATATCACTGATAGCGTTACTCATATCTCTAGGAATCCTCACGTACTTTCGGTAAGTATATGTGTTAAAATATTCATATTTCCGTAAAGCCTCTATGATAGTAATAACAATAAAAATTTCCGAAAAAATCGGCAATTTTTCAGTAAATGGATTAACCATGGCCACAGTTTTATTTCAGATGGATTTTCTTAAAGTACTTATTTAAAGGTCTCTAATATAGTTAATATAATACATTTAGTCTGTTAAAATTTGAAAGAAACATATGATACTTAAAAAGCATAGTAACAACTCTTTGCAATTTAATGAAAGTGTTAAAGCAAAGTAAATAGCATTTATATTAAGAGAAATAGGGATGGAGTGAGTAAAAATAAAATGAATCAATGTTAAAAAATGTCTCACTAATATGAATAATACCAAATAACATTATCTCATTAGCTTTATCGATAACGACTAATTGGCTCTTATCATATAATAATTTAATAAGGAAATTGTTATCTTGAGAGATGAATGTCGTAAGTAATTTGTCGTAAGTAAATTTGTCGTAAGTAACTTACCGATGCAGTGACAATGGATTTGTAATTGGATTTTCACGAACGCATCTATCTTCTAAGAATAATATTTGCTGAGAAATTGAGAGAATGAAATCTGAATGACTTCGCGCAAATTATACGATATTCTATTCGAGCATAACAAATCAAAGATCCAAAGCTCGGCGGATCACTACACAGACTTTCATTTGTAGATCACTGAGGTGCGCCCGAATAACATTGCACATGAATCTATTCGCTTCGTTTGCCCTCAACAATGTCCTCTGGCTTATTTGGTACGGCTCCGTCGTGGCAAACGTCAAACTACTCTTCAATAATGGCGTAAGTATTGCATTTTTTTGCTGACCAAGTCACTTAATTCGCTACGACACTCGGTTTATTTATGCGCAATTTATGAATTACTAAGTCACAATTCTCCCTCCATTACTACACCTAATATAGTCGAGTGCAATATTACGAGTTTTCTTCGATCCTAATAATTTAAAGATTTTTTTTTAAAGAAGCTTTTACTACTACTACTACTCCTGTTACTTTAAAATAATTGTCTTGAAGATTTTTGGTATTAAATTTTTTATTTATTTTTTTTTATTATTTATTTATTTTTTTTTTTTTTACATATGTTGTACATATTTAGCAGAGAAATAACTTAGTTAATGCAGAGTAAGAAGGATAATACGATTATTAATTCTGACTTTAACTTTATAAATACTTAAGAAGAATTATACAACAACTATTAAAACAACGATTGTAACATCTTATTAAAAAGATTATTAAAACAACTACTAAACGAATTAACGTAATTTCAAAATTATTTTCTTACAATAAAAAATGATTTGCAAAGGGTTTGTAATGATGGACGAACGAAGAGTCGTATTTTGCCGTTATTAATATGCATAACGACATTTAAATTGCTCGTTTTCTCTCTATAATCTCCATGAGATTATGCGAACGAGTAAACATTCGCGGATCAATTTTATTTACACTTTTATTACAAGATCCGTTTTAACTGCGGAAGTTAACGGAAAGTCCGTCCAATATTAAACGTAAAACTTGGATATTTTGGATAAAACGAGAAATAATTTACCGGGCGTATATTTATTTATGAAGTGGACAAATAAACGATTAACGACAATTTCCAATTAACGCCAAATCGGACACCAATCGAAGAATCCAACATTCGCAAGCATTTTATCATTCCTAACAACATTCCAAAGTACGGCAAATAGTACGTCGCAAAATTCCCATTACCACATCTCGAGCTAATGAGCTCTTCATAAAGTCTACTGATAGCCAGCAGAATTTGACGCTAAAGTCTCATAATTACACGTTGATTTTGTCAGTTAATGTGTCGCTTCCTTCACGTAATACTTCACTACTACCTGCTTACCAACTACGCGTGGATGCTCTGCGAGGGCATTTACCTGCACACGTTGCTCGTCAGCGCCTTCACGAGCGAGCATAAATTGGTAAAGTGGCTCATGGGCTTTGGATGGCCAGTGCCCGCGATCATCGTCACGATCTACGCGGCTTTAAGGGCAACGAGCGATGATCCCGCCGACACCCTGCAGTAAGTGCCCTATTCTTTCCAAAGTCTTTACTATTGTTATTATAAATATCAACGTTTCACCACCTCGACGGTTTTCTCATCATTATGTTGCTCCTCATTTTTCACGATGATAATGCCTTGGCTAAGTCTACGTAGTACACTAGTGTTAATAATAGAATGAAATGCGCAGCTGAGAATGCAGCCGTTAACAAAAAATGTCAAATAATATGATTGCAAAATCCGAGATAAAAGTTGTTTGTTTTTCTTTTCTTTTCATTTTTTTTTTTTTTTTTTTTTTTTTTTTTTTTTTTCCCTATTGTTGCTGTTGCTGTTGCGTTTTGTTTTATTTGACAAGTAATTGTAAATTTTATTGAAAATGAAAATCCAAGTTGCATCGTGCTCAATAGTCTAAACTTTAATTAAAGTGAACTTCCGACAAAGGGATGCTAAATATAGCAAAGCACAGCAATAATTTCATGTTAAACCGAGGACTTATTGCACTTATTGACATCGGCTACATTCATTAGTGAATCCTTTATTCTCTGTATTTATGTATGAGCGAGACTTCGTGGTTTATTAAAATTGTTTATATTGATATTAAAGGCATTATTAAAGTTTTACATAAATTCTACAGTCACTTATGATACAATTAATACCACAGCATAATATAGCCATCATAAATTATAATAAACTTAACGAAATAAATAGCAGAGGAGTGCCATTAAATCACCATGAGAATTCTTTAATTTTACGATCATTTTATTATAACTTTTTAAAAAGACAGAGAAAAAAAATAGGGGTCTGGGGTGGGGGGAGGGGGAGGGGGGGAGTGGTTTTGGAACCCCCACCCCCGGCCACTTTTTTTATAAATAAATTTTTTTTTTCTTTTTCAGCGATATGATAAAATTTGCTACCACATCTATTGAATTTTTGAGATAATCGAGTGATCGTTATTAAATGATTAACTTTGAAACGGAAAACTTATTACTAAAAAGCCCTCAGCATCGTGATATACTCGACAATATTTAACGACTGTGGACAAGGTGTCTTTGGGCGTTAAATAATACCGTGGCACAATATAATTATGTAAATTCCTTACACGCTAACAAAGACAACCATTACGTCGTAGTCGCCTTAAAAGATGCGCACTACCAACACGAGCGGCCCCTAGTCCGCCTCCATTCCGCCGGAATGTAACAAAGACCCTAGCTGAATTCGATTAAATAAATGCACAGGACAAAGAGGTCGATAGATAAACGTCATCCCGCTTCGCGAACAATTCAATTTCGCCTAGGGAATTAAAAAATAAATGTGAAAAAGTGATGGTTAAACCAGAGCGAAGAGGAAAAACGAATTATGGCAAGTGTGGCCAAAGGCAGAGGTCACGAGGCCTCTGCGTCGAAACTGAGGAGTCGGCTAATGGAATTACGCGGCCGAACAGCCGGTGTTGTTAACGCAACGGAGGCCGCGGCTCTGCCGTTAATGCACAAAGCGAAGCCGTGCGTTAGGCGCACGCATAAAGTCCACTTTAATGGAGGCGACGCACGAGAAAATCGAATCTGCCGAGAGGGACGATCGATGCGCACTCGCGACAACCTGCCAAATCAAGTCGCATCGACAACAGTTGGGCACTATCGGGAAAAGTCGCGCTCCTTCGACACCCTTTAACCCTCTGAGCCCTCCTCCCATCCTGCCCGCCACTACCACCAATACTACCAACACCATCACCACCATCACCACCACCACCACCACCACCACCACCACCTATCAACGAGTCAACTTTGCTCGTGGAAATTCGAATCGCCGCTTTAAACATTTCAACGGCAACGCATATTTTGAACGATCGAGTGTATTGCATTCGATGCCACTCCATAAGACAAAAAATAACGAGAATAGATGTCAGTGCAATGGATATCCATCAGTCAATAAATACTACGATTCTTAATAATCTTAAAGCTTGACATATTATCGATAAGAGCTTTGGCAATGGGCGTTAAAAAATTTTCATAACTCGTTAATTGTAAGCGTAATTGGTATATGCCATTAATATAAACTTGTAAATTTAATAATAATGAACTTTCGAATAATTATTGAATTAGATTTCCTTCGTTGCAATCGGAAAGGATTTGTTTATTCATTGATTTTTATCGGGAATAAAAATTTCGACTTACAATTATGAAATATCAAACACATATTCTCAGTTATATATTTTAATTAGTATATTTTATTTCAAAGAATATTCCGTATATTGGCAATAATAATATCATCTTACGAATTATATATAAACGGCAGACGATAATCAATACTGAAATAGTATTCTCGTGGTTAATATTATATATAACGGAGATAAAACAGGATGACAAAAGTTTAGGGAAATATTTTCGAACGTACGTCGCGATATGAGCAGTCGACTATACGCACAAGTCGCTTCTTATAATCATGTCCTCGCCCAAGTCCTTTATCCGACAAATAAAATCGACTATAAATTATTCTCTCAAAGAATTTATCGTTATTTATCGAGCCGTAAAAGAAAAAGAAACAAACAACAACATATAACCATCTCCCAGACGCGGCATCGACGAGCACTAAAATCCAGCGTAAAAAATGACAGTGGTTTGACAATAAAAAGGCTGATCATAAAAAATTGTAAAAAAAAAAAAAAAAAATAAATAAATAAATAAATAAGTAAATAAAATTAACCGGACTTGCGGGCGGGCCGTGGGTGTGTGTACGAAGGGACGAGGAGGTGGAGGATCGGTTTAAAGGCCATAGTTAAGGGCAATAGTTTACCGATACATAACTTTTGATCTGTATGCTTTACAGATGCTGGATCAGCGAAGGCAATTACATCTTCATGTTAGTTTACCCCGTTTGCGTGTCAACGCTTCTCAACCTGTTGTTCCTTTGCAACATCGTTCGGGTGCTGCTTACAAAGCTGAGGGCCGGACCTGCGATTGGCACCCAGCCGTCACGCTCGATGTTACAGGCCTTCCGGTAATAACGCCACATGCGCCACTCGTGAAACTGAACTGGCAGAGGAAGTGTCTCAAGAGAGAAAACATCGAGCCTACGTCGATATTTAATGCAAAGCCTCTTGAATTTCTCTCATTTAAACTGGCCTCTGCTTCGAATTTGTATTTATATTTTCCCACTCCCCCCCCGCCCCCCTCCCCCTCTCTCTAACTCTCTCCTCTCTCCCTCTCTCTCCCTCTCTCTCTACCTCTCTCTCTACCTCTCTCTACCTCTCTCTAACTCTCTCTACCTCTCTCTACCTCATCCCTCCCCACACATCCAGCCATCACCTACCCTCCCACAACTCTAACTCTTTACTTTATAATTTGTGTACGATAGAATGGTTAAAAACAATTCAATTCTTACGTGTCGCTTGTGAGAAAAAAATTTTATACCCCTCCTTAATGACTTAATTAAAAATCAACAAAGTTTCGTGCGATTTTTTAAAACTATAAATTGTCTCGCGCATCACAGATTTATCGTGATAACGGTAAATAATCGTTATTAGCATACGCCAATATAACTAACTCTTTTAATCTATTAAATGTGAAATAAATAGGATGTAATGGCTTTGATTTCGAAAGTGAGACCAAGATAGCGCTAATTTTCATATTCATATTTATAGAAAATTCAACGCGGCTAGCTAATCAAATTAATTATTGCAAATTGTTGGCGAATTTGGACGCGAGAACATTCTCCACTACCAATTTAACGATAATGCCATTCCATTGTCAGCACTACACTAAATAGCAACGGATACCTCTAATTATAAATGGGAGTGAGATTACCTTGAAAATAATTCAAGCTCAATAAATTCTTGCTATTCTACAGTGCGACGCTGCTGCTCGTACCATTGCTGGGTCTCCACTACCTCGTCATTCCGTTTCGACCGGAAAAGGGACACCCCTGGGAGAAAGCTTATGATGTTATGTCGGCCATAACGGCATCCTTTCAAGTAAGATACCCACATGAACGGAATTTTTCATTTTTAAATACAAACGACCATAGAAATTAACGCGACTTCGTCTCCGATTACCCCGCGGCGCTTGTAATTATTATCAAATTAATCAAACGGTATCTTCATAATTTGCGTGCAAAAACAAAAGATGCTCCTAATCTCTCTTTCATTGCTTTGCTTTCTATCATCATAAATGCATTAGACTAACATCGATACTTTCTTAGCCCAATCTATGGCCTACACTTAACAATCGCCTTTATTATGATTATTACTTAAACATATTTTCAAGAATCCATCTTGATTAAAATTTTTTAAACAAAATATAATGATTTTACAGTCGTACTAACGAAACGTTATCTTATATTACAATTTTGTAACGAGTTTCCCTTTATTTTACAAAACTTTTTCGTTTTTATTAATTTTCGATTTTATTACAGCACAGAAATTATACATTAAACTTTAAAGTTTGAAGATTTTTTTTTTTACAACATTTATTTTCTAAAATTGTTAATACGCTTAAAAAAATGTTTGAAAAACTTTCAAAAATTCGTCTTTGAATATTAAAATATGGCAGTAAGCATTATGCACTGCTGATATTAATATATGAAGTTTCATCTTTTATGCATTACCACGTCATTTCTCATATAACTTGTCCAGCAATATTATGAACATGGAATTTGAAGGGAATTTAAATTAGATATATATTAAAAAATTTATTATTACTTTTTTCATTTATCAATTATTGCCACTTAATAAAATATTTGAACTTCGCTATTTTTGCAGGGTCTTTGTGTGGCGATACTCTTCTGCTTTTGTAACGGTGAGGTAAGTCGAGCGTTAAAGGAGTTTATTATGATATTACAATTCAATTATAATAACAATCATTAATATTTTTAATACACGCACACATTTCATATAATATTGTAATAAAATACATTTTTCTTTCGTTTCAAACTTTTCCTTAAAAAAAATAATTTGTTCATTTTATGTTCTTTCAAAGCAAACAAAAATATATTTCATTTATTCAATGAATTATGATTATTTCAGAACCATATTTAAAATACATTAATAGTTTTTAATCAATGGGGAATACCTAATCACGAAAGAAACTATATTTGCCTAAATAATGCTCGAATTATGAAAACATATGAAAAATTCAGAAGGAATATTGATAAAAAAAACGAGGATGAAAAAATCTATTAAAACTTATACCATCAATTTTATGAATAATTTGGCGCTGATTAAAATTCCCATAAATCTAAAGCAAAGAGATTTATTTATTAGCCAACGCAATCTATTTATTTTTTAAAATTATTGTATATAATGTACACGGTAAACGTATAATATATTAACGAAAAAAAAAAAAAAAAAAAAAAAAAAAAAAAAAAAAAAAAAAAAAAATTAGAAGCTTAACTTCTCTTCTACTTTTTTTTTCTGTCTTAGCACACGTCAAACAAGTGTTTATGATTACCACGTAGTTGTCAGTGTTGTATAACTTGTCTCTATCAGTGTATTTATTATAAGTGTACATCAATACAATAATCTTAGTTATAAGTCTTAAAAGATATGCGATAATGATGTATAAATGGCTGTTGGAGTTGTTATGTTTAATTGACATGTTTTTGGAAAAGCGGATTAAGTTATGAAATACAATGGTTGAATGCAAATTAATCGAATGGTAATATGGTTGAGTAAGATTGTGAAAATACAAATGCGTGTATAATAACAAATAAAATACAAATATACAGTGACTTTGTTGACATGCATGTTGTATATGCAATTCATAAAAAATATAATAACTGCCATTTACTATTTAATCTATCATTTCTATTTAATATCTAAATGTATATAAATAACACTCACCCGTCATATCAACTGCGTTAATTTTATTCTATAAGAATATAATCATAGAATTAATAATCCACTGATTCTAAAAAAAAAAAAACTAAGATCGGTTTATTATTACGATATGAATACTTGCCCACAATAATCTTCTTCATTTTATTTATTTATAGGTAATAGCGCAATTCAAGCGAAAGTGGGAAGGGACGGCATTTGCGAGAAAACGCGCAAACTCTTGCACCGCCACCACAGTATCGGTAATACGATCTCTCCATTTTCATTCATCAACTCATTCGAAGCATTTCGAACATATCATAAAACTATTTTTTATTTAAATTTATTACCTAAAACTTTTACACATTTATTAAGCTTTTATAAATTTCATCTCACATTTGCTCCTCTGTTTCTTCGACACATTACAATTAACATACATAAGCTACAAAATGCTATTAAAGTCAGTCTTTTAAGTTTTAAAACGGACTTTAAGCAATATTGTCGCAAAGTATTCGATAGATCATCAACCAGCCTTATTTTCTTAATACAAGCTACATCCATTATCTATTAACACACAAATTTATTTCTGCTTTTTAGTTAGAACGCTTATCACTGTTGGGTGCAGTCACGCATGACTGAAAAGCTTCTTGCTCTCTTTTCGCTTATTCGACTGCTTCTCTATGGGTTTGCTTGGTAAAAATGAAGAATGTACCTTGCTGACTGGCTATACAACTAGTTAATAATTTAGCTTATTGTCTCGGATGCGTAAAGACTTACAATTGAATTATATTCATTGTGTATTCAATGTAATATTAATAACGATTGCACTACCAAATAATGCTAGCAATTAATCTATGAGTTCGTGTAGTTTTTTAGAATGAAAAATATTTCGAAATTAATGTAGCTGCATATATATCGAAGACAAAAATTTTTTTGTACACCTGTCTCTGTGCCGTATAATAGTTAAGATTCTTTTTCACATAATCTAGCAAATTTCAATTAAATGTCATTATATTATTATCAATTTTCAATTATAGTGTAAATATTAAAATATTTATTCGCTATTTTTGAACAACTGTTCAATAAGTCAAATCCCTCGACCTCGAGGATTTAAACATGACATTTCTAATTTATAAATTCATTAATAAAAACACAAAATTTTATGAATATAGAGAACTGAACAATATACTTTTCGATGAAAAAAAATAATATTTATGCAATAAATGACTATTTATTTTATTTATATAAATTTTTTACTCATGGTTCGTCCATTTAATATACAAATTGTAAAAATATCGTACAATAATTTGCCTTTTAGCATAGAATTCAAATTTTTAAATGAAATATCCGTTTCATTTAAGTTTTTTTTTTTTTTTTTTTTTTAAATATAAAGAGTTTTTTATAGAAAATCATAAAATCGACTTTTCAAAATCATATTAAAAAAAAAAAAACAGTTTGCTCCTTATCAATACATTTTCTGTTAATAAAAGCAAAATACGCGATTCGCAGTCTTTATTTGTCTACTGTAAGTTCATAAAGTAATGAATCAGACTTAAAAATTAAAATCTACCCTGTAAATTGCAATTACAATTTAAAATACAATTATGAGATAAAGTTATGCAAGGCTTATAAATTTATATAAAAATTTAATAAAAAATAATAATAATAATAATAATAAATAAATAATGGTAATAAAAATAAGTAAAAAAATTGAATATATTTCGCTTTAAACGTGACACATTTTATAACTTTTAAACGGTAAAATGTAGACAGTATGGATTTAATTTTTTATATACAATAAAAATAAAAATAAAATATTTTTTTTAAATAATACAGGACGCATTTCATTATCTAGAATTTATGAAATTAATGTTTAAATAACACATTCATGTAATTTACCTAAATATATGAACAAAATTAATAAACCGATTATTAACGCTAAAATCAAAATAAGTGAAATACGTTATTTCGCTAAATATTTGCAATAAATATCACAAGCTTTACATTGTCTTTTTTTTAGCGCTGTTAAATAAAAAAGTTAATTGCTTTTTTTGGGTACTTCAGTGACACCTGCCATAAGGTTTATATCGATGTCGCTTCGCGACTCGTCAATGGTGCGATGCGGACGTCTATATTTGTATTTCTTCATATATAAGTATATAGATCGATTTGTTTGTTAAATAAACATTTTGATGGGATTTCTGCAGAAATAAAAAACTCTCATCGTTATCAATATACATATACATATGCATATGTATATACATAACAAAAACAACAACAACAACAACAACAACAAGAACAACAACAATGATAATAATAATAATAATAATAATAATAATAATAATAATAATAATAAATAACGGTTACAAATATTGAAAATATGATGCCTTATATATGTTGTAATAATTGAATATATTATAAAATTACAATGGTTGATATAATGAAATATTTTGCGTTGGATGATCTACGAGTAGCATTAACGTTGTAATATTTAAAATTTAGTTTGTCAATTTTCTTTCTACTTAGTTTACTGTTTGAATAGTAAAGTAAATTTAAGCCTATTTCTCTTTAAATGATTTTTTTTTTTCTACCATTTTGATTAATATAATGTCATAACGTAGACTTTAATATAAGAAATAATATTGAGATATGATTTGAAAAATGATCAGTTCAAGGGCAAAGATAATATGAACGATTTCATTCCAATTATTACTAATGTTGACAAAATGTTAGAACTTGTTCCATTAAGATTATAGAGGTATAATTGCATTAAATAATATTCGATACATTTATTGTGACAAAAAAAAAAAAAAAAAAAAAGTTTAAGTATTTAAAAAGTGAATATTCAAGTATTATAAAGTCTATACAAATAATCCTTATATAACTAAGTTTAATAAATATTGAAAGTATTGAAAAGCTTTCATTATAATCTGCGAATAAATATTTTAAATAAGATAATTAACATCTGCTGTATTTATCATCGATTATCAAATATGCGTAAAAATATTAATTTGATAAAGACATTTTACAATTTCATTAATTTGTCATTGCATTTAGAATAAAATTATTTTAATTTAATTCTTTTATTTTGTATAGAAAATGATTACATTTATAATAACGAGGTAAATTAAGATCTTTAACCCTTTTCTGATCATTTCTATATCTCAATTATGCCTGTTAAGAAAAGTGCGTTGAATTCGTATGAACAAATTTTAACAAATTATTAAAAATTAATTTCACCATTGATTAGTTGTTATCTATATTATTGACGAGAATGACATAATTTGCAATTAATTACCGTAACATTTTATTCCTGAAAGACAAATGATCGTCTGTAATTAAACAAAACATCGTGTCAAATTTAATCGTACGTAAAGTTTTTAAAGCCAATTGCTAAATTATAATTATAAAATTATCTGGTAAGTTTGTTAGATTACTGCTAAAACATTAATTATCCAGCTGTAACTTCGATGTCGCATTATTTTTTACGATCGAGTCAACGTTGCAGTATTGAGTTAAAATTGATGTGATCGCCTAGTTCTCTAGATCTATGAAAATTCTAAAATCGATCGAATAACAGCGTCGGCGTCTATTGTTTGACGAGTAAGCAAAGAAAAGCTGAAGAAAACAAGTCTGCGACTACTTCTAGATCAGTATCCATCTTGACGCGAGTTCCTCCATGGATGCGTACTCAATTATCGAGATTCGACCTGGAGATTGTTCGAACAACTCCGTCCGTATCGCACCAATGGCAGCCGTCCGAGTCGAGTCCATTGTGGGGTGTTGACTGTTGCAGTTTGTCCGCTCGACCGCAGGTCCGATGGCGGGAGAGGAGAAAGTATGACTATCAGTCGGCACCATCGGCGGAGCCCCGAGACACGAGCAGCAGCAGCAGCTGCAAGCTTGCAAGCACTAAAGCCACGGCTACATCCCTCGACGCCGAGCTCCATCAGCCGCTCACCATCCTCGCATCGGCGACCAACGGCAATGGAAGCGCAGCCAATCACACCTCCGGACTACTTCTTAGACGTCCCGACAACTACGATGTCCCAACTGGCAACGTCCCCAATTGGCAATCCCAGTGTTAGCCGAGCTTCTGCTTCATTTTCCATCGCCGTGTTGTCTGCCACATCTCAACCTCCGTAATAAAGCTTCGGCTGGCGTCCAAAGGGGCGCCTAGGTTCATTAATCATTTTTTTTTTTATTTTTTTTTTTTTTTTTTTTCACTCTCGCGTAAGTTCGATAAATCACGCGTCCTCTGCATTCTCATCATTGAATATCTGTAATTGGGGAATCGTTGCCTAGCCACGAAAATAAATAATTAAAACCGTAAAGTCATGTTGCACGACATGAGCCGGTGGTCACACACTTGATATTAAATTAAAACAAAACAAACGAGCAAACAAACAAACAAACAAACAAAAAACAATACATAAATAAATAATTCACACATGCGCGCGTACGGGCAGACAGAAACAAACAATTGCAGAATAATATGTACGATTGCTGTCACTTTTGTGCTGAAAATTTCACTTGGTTGCATTTATTTCAATGAGAAAAATATAAAACGTTTTTTCCCAGTTAAATAATTTGATATAATAATACTTGTAAAACGAATTAAATCATTTATAGACAATTTATAGAGTTTAATGCTTGTATGAGAAATAGCAGCGTAATAAGTAGGAATAATAAAAAAAAAAAAAAAAAAAAAAAAAAAAAAAAAAACACTTATGCCCGTTTCTTAACATTAAATCATAAATATTTCATTTAGAGAACATATTTATTATAATCAATCGTAATTAATTTTTCTTTTTAAATCGTCAAAACCTATTTATTTTTCACTAATAAAATTCTACTCGATAGATAGAATTAAGCTACGATTATTTACAGAGCAAATGCATATTTTAACGAATTAAAGTCTATACGTAAAATAAATAAATATAAAATAATTATGCTATAAGATTGATCATAGTTAATTTTATATTTATTAATTAGAAAAGGTTTGTGTACATAAAAAAATTTATTTATAACTGAAAGCTTTATAAAGATAAAGGTGTAAAGAGTGACAATTTACTAATTACTTCTATAAATAACTGCAAATCTTTTCCTCAACAAAAAACTTTTCAATCGCTATCTTTTTCTTTTTTTACAAAGTCTGAAAAACTTGATCCTACTTTTGTCTTATTTGGTATTCACTTAACAAATACGAAGGAAAGAATATATAAACGCGTATTATTCTTTTTATAAACATTAACACTTTGATAATTAACATAATGACAATAAAGTATCTACCAAAAAGTTACGAACGGCATTTAAATGGCCAATTTCTCATTAAAACAATGATAGACATAAATATTATAAAATGTGAAATATAAGTAATTTTTATTTTAGAATAATTATAATGTAAAATTTTAATAAAATTGAATTTGCTAATTTTAGGAATTGAAAGAAATTTGTCAAATAATCTTAATCTTATATACATTTTTAAACATTAAATTCCAACCCAACTAATTGCTTATTTCGATAAAGAACATAAATAAGCCATTTATTCTAATATATTTCTTATATTATTTCTTATTAAAATATTATATATATATATATATATATATATATATATATATATATATATATATATATATAATATTTTAATAAGACTTAATATTGCATTAAAATGGAAAAATATTAAAATTTTTTATTACTGTTTCGATAAAATAAGGGAAAAAGTATACTGGCTACGTGGCTAGTGCATTATGGCGGTCTTATGGCGCATCAGCATTTCAATATTTCAACAATGATTTTTCTGACCTAGTAATAATATCAAAGAGTTCACTCTAAATTAAACAAATTAGCTTCTTTAAAAATTATAGAAAATAGAAGACCATGCCTGCATAAGTGAATTTTTTTTAAGTAATTTTTCAAATTTCGAGAATTACAGTATTAATTTATTGTATTTCATAAATATAAAAATATAAAATAAATTAACTTATGTTGGGCAAAAATATCAACTGAAATTATTGCCTTAATCATTTTAATATTAGCATTTTAAATAGACCTTTGAAAATAATTTAAATTAACTTTATTGTAAATAAAAAAATATTTTTAGTAAAATACCAAATCAAACGCTAATCAGTGATTTTAATAATTAAGGGGGCGGGTGGCGGAAATATCATCTACGTACTCCTATAAAAATTATTAAATCATGAAAAATATGTATTTTATAGTTATTAACAATAATAATCTATTCTGAATAATCCTTTCTGACAATGAAATTAAAAAATATTTGTATAAATGAATAATTTTCTTAAAAAATCAATAAATTATTATATAGATTTTATACAATATAGATTTTGTCGATTAGAATCCTTTAAAAATGTATGTTGAAATATAACATTTACACAAATTGATTTTATTCTATCCACTATTTATATACAAAGTGTTAAAACCATATGCATATTTTGCAAAACAAATTTTTTCATAAAAAACAATATCACGTAATTTAATAATAAATAAATAAGATATGCCTATAAATAATTACGAAATTCTTAGAATACTTAGACTTTATAATATTGATTGAATTATAAGAATGTAAATTCTTTATACTCAAAAATCATATATTTAGTTAACTGATTTATTCGAAAAATATATTACGATTGTATTCAACGAAAATTCATTCTACATGCAACAGAACCAACCAATGTAAATAAACGTTACATTAGTTATATTAGTTATAAAAATGAAAACATAAATAAAGATTATATAAATTTCTGTTTTGCGTACATTAATTTTCAAAAATTCGTATTTGCAGTAATTATTATATAAAAATTTAAATACTTAGAATTTGTCATTTTATTATTATTATACTATCAGAGTATTTGAATGTAACTTTGATAAACCAAAATCTAATATCAAATGCTTATTTAAGATGTTATAACAATAAATGTTAAATATAAATAATGTTAAATACTATAGCATGTATGAATTTTATTATATTATTATAAAACATTATTGGAATACAAAATGAATGATAAGGAAACTTATATAAATTATATTATCATATGGATTATACGAAGGCCAATTATACAAATTTATAAGCAGTTAAAAATTTTAATTCCTCTATAACTAGATTTTGTATCCAATTGCATATTTTGAATTAATTTTGAATTTAATATAAATTTAATAGAAAACAACAGCTACGCTGATGACTAAAAAATCAGTTGTTTGTTTATCGCATGTGAAACAAAAGAAACGAATTCCTTATATATGATACATTTTATGAAATTGTAAAAAAAAAAGAAAAAAAAAATATATATATATATATATATATATATATATATATATATTGCTTATATATCATATAAATCATGATTATAAATTATAAAAGCAACGTTGATATTCTAAGGTAAAATACTCCAAGATAATTATTATATATTTGTATGTTATACATTAGAAGTAATACGTAGTAATGATATTCAAAGTTTGTTACATTCAAACCCAAATATGAGATTTTAAGAAATTATTAAAATTGTTATTTTTCGCATCACGCATGTTCTAACACATAAAAAGTGCAATCAAATAAATAAAGAACTTGACTAAAATTTTAATTTAATTTTTTGTAAATATTTCATCAATAACAACGAGAAACGAGAAAATAATTTGTTATAGATTATTGATTTTAATATAGCAATATGATGTTATTGAAACTTATAAAAAAATTTCAAATTTTATTTTTGCTCGATTCTGCTTTAAACTAACAGAAAATAAAAGAAAATTTTTTGCCCAAGGTAAGTTATATACCTGCTTATTTGGAATTGTTTATTTGATTAAAAGGTTATAGAAAGCATTTTCTTCTGCATATTTCAATCAATATATTATTAAAATAAAAATTACAATTTCATAATTTCTTAAACTATTTAAATAAATCATAAATTTTCCGTAAATGTTTGCATTATATTATAATTTTATTTGCAAATTTACATAAATTTATATATAGATATGTAAAAAATTCAGTTTTTCAATAGTTTTCCATCAAGAAAGGGACATATTAATGTTAATGTTACACATATTATACTTAAGACTTTTTATTTACTATATTTTGAAGATATTGCGAATAAAATTTTTAAAAAAATTAGCAAATTCATAACTACTCCGCGTAGTGCATAAATATATATATATATAATACGAAATGTATAAACAAAAATAAATGGCTTCTCACTTGTGACGAAGCTTATAAAGTAGTACATATACATGGGGAAAACGAATCACTTAATCTGCCATATCATACAGATTCTATAAATCTAAAAAACGAAAAAGGTATATCTTAGTTTTTGTACTAAATAGAGTGAATTTATATTAAACGCATTATATATACATCCATATTTACATAAATGTATATATATATATATATATAAAAGTGCTATAAAAGTGTATAATGCAAATGATCTTATAGAATACTTTCTTATTATAATCAGTTTTTGGAATTTAAAGTCCATATAATTATAATCATCAACTTATTAATTATCTTTAATTAATATTATATATTAAGTACTATTTTCATTGTACTAACATAAAATTGCTTATAATTAATCTTTTGGTTTAATCTTTTGTTATCTGTGTATTGAATTGTATTGGAACACAAGAAAATAGTTTTTGCATGTGAAAATTAAAAATTTTATCTAAAAGTTCATTTAATAAGCCTATAGCGAATTGTTTTGGCTAGAAAGAAAAAAAAAATGACTTCGAATGTAAATTATTATCTCGCAAATGAATATTATTTTACTAAAATCCAGTACATTTATAGATATCTGTGTAGGGTTAATACAAACCAAAATACAAGAATAAATTAAAAATTCTAGATTTTAATCTCAAATGCTGAAAATCGTCCTACAACTTACACTTGCTTACAATCATGATAATGCAATGCTCGTCATACAAATAAAAAATAAAACTTTTAGCCCTAATATAAAGCTTGAGATTAATATCTCCGCAATTATATTATATATAGTGTTAAAAAAAAAAAATTTATTTAATTTAAATGCCTTTCAATTGATATGTTAAAAAAATTTTTATAAAAAAAAAAAAACAAAAAAAAACAAAAAAAAATGAAAATAAAAATGAATCTCAGTTTGATTTACTGAAAATGAGTTTTTTCAACAATATCACAAAATAAAAGGTACAAAACAGTCTATTTAAATATGATAATTTAATGTAATTCTTTATAATCCACAATTTATCAACAAATAGTTCATAATCATAAAAGTTCATTTGAATAACTATCGCCGCAAATATTAGATGAAAACGAGAAATGATCGTACCTGAAGTATTAAAATGAATAATGTCGATAGAAATATTTTAATTTTATTATTAAATTTTGTATAATTTAGTATAATTTTGCGCATTTCAGGCCCTTGTAATCTACAATGATCGTGTAATCAACGAAATTTTACGCAAATATATGAATTGCTAAAAAAATAAAAACACGTTTAATGTATTTTCTAAAATCATACGATAGCTTGTCTACAAATTATACACATTAAAGCGGGTTTTACACCAACGATATTTTAAGAGTTACTCAGGAGAGTGAGACATTTACTGTATACTATAAAGCGCCGGTGATCATTATCAACAATATAAAAATTAAATTTGTATATAACAAATCACAACAACCTTTGTATACAGAATGAAATATGTGTGAATAACGTAAGAACATTATATACGAAATGTGTTGAAAACAAAATTCATAATATGTAGATGTTTAGAAACAAATAAACGTTGTTATAAATAAATACATTTTGGTGTTTTATTGAATTGTTGAAAGAAAAAATTAATCATGAGATGTTTATAAAACAACTATATAATTTTAATTTAAAAATTAAAATATAAATCCCTACGTATATTAATAATATATAAATAATGTAATATAAGCTTATTTTACTTTTTGAAGTTTCTTCAAATCCATATCACACTTTAATTGCTTTATTCAAAAAAATAATTATATTACCGATGACACATATTGGTAGCGCATGCATATACAAATATCACAACAATGTAGCATACCAAAATATCATTCTCCCGTTCATAATCTATTTTTAATTTTCACTCGTAATGAATAACACGATTTTTAATCGAGCCTTAAGAATATAAATGCCAATAAAAGTCCTTTTATTCGTAAAATTTGTAGGATTTCTTTTTGTTTTTTTGTTTTTAAATATATTTTAAGGCCACATAAGATTTGCTATTCTTGGTAAAGTTAGTGCTATTATTATGCTTGAAAGAAGATTCACACTGTGATTATCAAAAATTTGTTTACCACTAATATGTCTTACACCTTTTCCTGGCCTCTCGACTATCAATCCCTTTTCATTTATTCCTAAAATTTATTGTATAACTTAATATAATGAATGTTTGCAATACAAGATATACAAGTGTATATAATTAATATACCTGAATATTGAAGAGTCGCGCCTAAAATAGAATCCACGATGCTTCCTAATAAGCCACCAATACCACCAAGAACTATAATTGGCCATTGAGGAGCAGCGAGTTCAAGAACAACACTATCCACTGTATATAACACAGTAAGATAATCAAATAAGCCTACTACAATACCACCTAGTGCAGAAACTGTAAGTCCCACCCATGATACACCACCATTAGTACCTGAAAAAAAAAAAATATAATAAATTAAACGAACATACATTATTAATAACGATTTTAAATGAAATGTAAAGTTACCTCTAGGAACCTTTTTCCGTGAAGTTATGAGGAAGGGATCGGAATCACCAACTACTGTACCAATTTCTGAAGCCCAGGTATCGCCATTACAACAAGCTATTGCACCTAAGATATTGTATAAGATATAAATAAGATATGAATTCATTTATACATTTATAAATTATCGACTAACTTGCTGAATACCATTATCATATTTTTCTACATAATTTTTAAAGAAAATCGATTTTAAACTGTTCGTGAATTTACCTTTGTTAATTATTACATTAGAAAGTAGAGAAGCAACTTAAAATTCGTCTTTTTTTCTTTTTAATTATCACTTTTAATATTTGAAATATATAAATACTTATAATTATGGACAGGTGCTTGAAAATATAATCAATCGAAGCAATATATATTCAAATAATGACTTTGTTTATTATTTAATATCACTTTCGATAATTATTTTATGAAATTATTTTATGTATTATTTTCTGAAAATTTAATACTGAGAAATAAGGAAATTATTTGCATTTACCCATTATTCCGATTGATAACCATGAACTTCTATAATCTTTGTCAAAATCGATAGGGCGTTCGCCACAACCAACATCTAATAAATATAGAATGGCCAGTTGAGCAGCCATTCCTCCATTGCACAACACCTGAATCCAATTTCGTTGACCGCCTTCTTTGATTTCTTCTATGGCTCTTTTCCTTTCAACTCTGAACTTTGTTACTTTCGACGATGTAAAAAAGAAGGCTATTAAGCACGCCACATGTGAAAAACTCGTTAACGTCAATATAAAGCCCATAAAAAATCCTAAGAAAAATCAATGTCTATAAAATAAAACTAAAAGATATAATATTTACTAAATGATTAGTATACAGAGTTAGAAAATATTTACCAAGTATTGCACCTGTTATATCGATATTTTTTCTTTTCAGTCCCCATAAGGCACACATAATTGGAATAAGAACCGCTGCCAGCCATCTCCAAGGTGATATGACAATATATCCTAATAAACAAGGTTCACAGTTTATAAAATTCCAATATATGATATTTTGTAAATTGCAATAAAATTAATAAAACATTATAAGAACAAATATGATAAATTCAATTATTGATAAAATGAAATTGTTTGAATTTAAGCTGATTGTTTAATTTATTTCATCATACATTGTAACCATTAATAAAATAATTAAATCATTATTTAAAAAAATGATTAAAAAAATTATACATAAAATTTTAATTATCAAAGAATTTGAAAATTAAACAAACAAGAGCCATTAGTTTGCCAAAATCCTTCACATTTACAAAATATTATAAAATATTGAAATATCGAAGGCAAAAAGTCTCCCTCTCTCTCTCTCTCTCTCTCTCTCTCTCTCTGAGTTTATATGCGGGCATGCATATGCACGCGGTATACACGAACGCATCAACAATGGTATGTTAAGTAACAATATTTGCAATAATAAAATATTTTAAGGGACATATAAGGAATGCAAATTTTATTAGGCAAATTATAATTTTATGAGATTTTTAATATACCTCCAAAGCTAGATAAAAATAACGTAACTTTTCAAACAGTAGGCGCAAATAATTAACAATCAAAAGTATTTATTTAATCGAACAAACTAATTATAAAAAATTGTACAAATTGCAAAGCCGAGTGAGTAGCCGTTTAAAGGTTATGTTCGAACGAGCGCCGAAAGGATTCTCATTAACAATGATCATACCATCCGACTGATGCTGAGGACTTGGCGATAGAAAGGAATAAGCCACGTTGATTGTCCAGAACATCATGGACAACGGGATCGCGATAGCGCTTAGTAGCACCGGAACCAAAACCGGTGAGGCCCGGTGCTCGTCCTTGCACCGTTCCATAGAACAGGACTGAGGACTCGGGGATCGTTGTCCTCTCCTGCTCTGTCGTCGCTCTCGATTATCTGTTTCTGCAGTCATCACATTAGTATTATTAAAACAGTCTGAAAACAACGACGAATTTAGCCTTACACCGCCTTGGCTCATCCGCAACGCCGATGAACGTAGCCAAATGTCTATCGCCGTCGTCACCTATCGACCACACGTAACTTCGCCGGTTCGCACTCACCGTCTCGCCATTTCCTTAATACTCGCGAAGCTTTAACAATTCCCTGTTTATTTGGTAAAATTATACCGCGTATCAGTGTGCGTACAGCATGCTGTGCGTGTGCGTCTGTGTATATGCATTAAAATAATACCGAGTCACTGAAGAAATCTTGCTCAAATCAATTTCAAACAAATACTTCGCTGTCATTATTAGTACTCAACTAAACAATTAGATGATAAAATAAATAAAGATCCGAAAATTGTCTATATTCAATGAATATTCGAACCGCAATTGAAATTATTCACAAGTTTTTCATATATACGCGCGCGCGCATAAATACTATTTGTTTGTAAACATGCTACATTGGGTGTTACAACGACCTAATGAACTTGATTTATTTCGCTATCATTTCACAAATCTCTCTCTCACAATTTAGGCCAAACAATTAAATATTGAATTTAATAATAATAAGTATTTTATATCTTAAATATTTATTTATTTATTTATTTATTATTATTTTTTTTTAATATTCATTCATTTTCAAACTGTTTTTCATAGGAACATTTATTTCGCGGTACATCATTATTAAAATTAATTTTAGTTTCTTTCGATGCTCTGCCAAATCTATTATTTCCTTTTTCCCGACATAAATATCTTCAGCGCGATAATGATTAGGATAAATGATTAAACATCTCTGATTTTCATTCGAACACAACCATACGCAACCGCGCACGCAAACGCACATTATAGCATAATAAGTTGCTCCTTAAACGTTTAATTTTTAAATTCGTTTAAATAAAGTTATTGCATAATGTTTGTAGTTCTAAATTGGAAATTTTTTGGAAAATAAATAAAGCAAACATTAATGTTTTAATTACCTAAGATAAATAATTAATTTTAAAAATAAATCATGGCTATGCCACTTCACCACTGTCCCATTCAATTTAAGTTCATAAGTAAAAAATAAGGAAAATTTCTATAGGATGAATGTTTTACAAATAAAATTTATTTTCGATGCATAGGTTTGTTACTAAACTATTACGTTATAGTGAATAAGAAATAATACAAAGCAATTTGGTTTAATTAACAAATTTGGTAAATTGATATATTAAAATTTATTTTCAATTGAATTAAATACCAAATTTTATAAAAAAAAAATAAAGATATAAACACATATACGAGCAACTAATTTATTTATACAATTGATTATAAAAAGTATTCCACCAAATAAATTGAAGAAATAAAGAATATTTAGGATATTGTATTTAGATTTTAATATGCATAATGTAAAATTATATTTATTTCATAAAATTGAATAATATTATTATAGTATTTACTCAATTCGTTAAAATAATATATTTTGTTTCATTTAAAAGAAAAAAAAAACTCTACATACGAAAACCATAATTTCCAATATCATATGTTTCTTTTCGTGAAAAAAATACAATATCTTTTATATTTGAAAATCTTGCTAGAATTAAAATTGTGTGCTTGAAATAAAGTGACAATTTTTTTTATTAAATAATACCTTGAAAATGTAACAAGTATATACCAACAAATTATCAAAACCCAAGATAAATTGGTAATATACATTTTTAATAATAAATGCAGTTTAGCTTCAAAACAGTAAAATAACCGATTTTTTTTATTACCGACTAATCACCGTAAAATACAATTTGTTACAAGATTTTTAGGATATTTATACATTTTACAAGAATTATATTTAATAATTCGAATTAGAAGTTTGCCACTTGACTAAAGGATTATTCGTATTAAGTAGAAGTATTATAAGAGCCAAAATTTAAATTTATTTATTATTAAGATAATATAAAATATATTATTAATATTATTTGTTAATTTCCATTAAGTAAAATTCATTTCGGAAGCTACAATTTATCATTAAAAAATCCTAACAATCTTACTAATGTATAATTTGCTTTAATTAACATATAATTAATTGTTTTTAAAATGTTATGTTAATCAATATTATATAATATTTTTTATATTGATATACACCCGGGCATTATTGCATTAATTAATTATTCTGATATATGACATCTTTTTGACATTTAATAATTGTCCAACTTTAGATATTATACAGTCAATGTGACTTGAAAATGAAAAACATGTTCTCGGTAGCAAAATTAAGATAAATTTCAATTCGTAAATTAGAAAATTGTATTGATGTTACTTATTTTTTCTGAATTAAGAATGATTTAATTGTAAGTACAAATGACAAAAAGGAGAATTTAATTTATCTAAAGAAATAGATATTTTTTTGATTTTCACTTAATTATTTATTTTGTAAATAAAATAATTATCCCCTATTCTTATGTATTAATGGAATGTAAATTAAAAATAAAGTTACGATAATACACGATAACAGAAATGAAAATTCATTATTTAAAAAGGAATAAAATATCGATTCATTTGATAGTAAACAAAAATACTTTATTAAAAAATTATTTACAAACAATATTAATTCTTTTCATTTTATATTGTCATAATATGAAATTCATTAATATTCTTTCGCGATTTCGTATTAATGTATGTTAATTATTAGAAGATAATAGGATTTTTCATTCCACAGTCAATATAATAGTTATTGGAAGAAAAGGAAATTAATTGACGATTTAGTATAATCCCGATTAATACTATTGAATAATTCATGGTTATGAGTAATATTATTGGCATATTATTATTCATCTACAACTTTTAATATAAGATATATAAATTTATATAAACTATCAATTAAAATTATATTTGCGACCTTTGTATGAAAGAGAAATAGAAGTCGTAGACACAACGTATTTCTTAAAACTAACTATATTTTATTTTTATCCTTATTGATTATTGTATTAAGTATAATGTCAGGTTAAAAGATATTTTATTCTTAAATATTTTCTCTCTCTCTCTCTCTCTCTCTCTCTCTCTCTGTGTCTGTGCGTGTGCGTGGCTGTGTATGTATGTGCGTGTGTATGCGCGTGTGCGTGTGTGCATTTAATTATGAAATATTTGTATTGTATTGTAAAGTGAAATTAAATTTAAAACATCTCATGTAACGATATTAAACCTTAGATATTTCATTTTTTTTAATAATAATAATACATTTTATAATATTGAAAATAATTTTACTTAGTTTCTGATCTCATATTTATATATATATATATATATATATATACATAATTTTTAAATTTGATGTAAAATAATTTTATCGTCATTGTTAAAAGAATTTTAAATTTACTTTATTGAAGAATCACTCATCATCCGTAAATTGCACTGCTAATTTTCCTCATTCGGCTTACACACGTACGTACAAAATTCTTCATAAAACAAAAGATTTTTGACTCCTTAAATACTATTTTTACACCGTAAGAGAAAAATTATGTTATATATTATAAAAAGTATATGAATAAAATAAAGCAAATATAAATATATAATTTCATATTATTATCAAAGGCCAATCTTAATATCGAAATATCTATCGTAATTATTTTACGTTTGGGTGTGTCAGCGCGACGGTTTTTGTGCGCGCGCGCGCGCGTGCGTGTGTGTAATATGAATTCAAGCGCATTTATGCATAAATGCATGCAGCCACGCACACAATATGCATATTTTTCTTTTTTCATTCGTTGACAAATCTTTTGAAAGCTGTTTTGAAAGAGTGAATAAAATTTATCGTTCAGCTTCTTAAATTATCGCTTTTATTTTGACCTCATATTTTTAATCGCCAATCACAGAATCCATAACTTATATCGAATTTCCGAAACATCGTGAATTATAAAATATATATAATATTTCTTTGTAAAATGATTATACTTTTACACTTTCATCTGACACCATTGGATAAAAAGTATTTTACATGTTTTTTCTGTTAAACGCAAGCTTTAGATTTTAAATAATGTTGGATTTAACGAGTGTTTCAGAGATGAATATTTATTAAGTTTATATTTGTTTAAATCTTTGATTGTATATTTCAGTCTACTACTATAATATAAGACCACTAAACAATATAAAGAAATTTAATTGTGCAGCATCATTTGGGGCCCCATTGGACTAATGTAATTCCATTTGACCGTTTCCATTTAAATACACTGGTAATCTTTGAAATATTTTAAATTTACGTAGGCCGAGATGATGGTAGACTGTCGGTATTCTTATTCCAACTTTTTTTACGATTACCCACTAATAAAACTTGCATATAATTCCAAATTATCCGTTAAAGGCGTCTGCATCGTCTTCCATTTCAATTTCCCATGGGTTAATGCTACACTTTGTAATTTTCGAATTTTTTGAAATAGAGATTGGCATAAAGATATTGCTGTTTCTAAACCAAATAGATAATGTAATATAATAAATGATATTTTTCGTCGATATTCCGTAAAAATTATTAGCGAGTGAAATGTAATTGCTTATAAATCATTGAAGGAATGCAAGAATATCGTAGAATATTGCTGATTGTTAACTTACACTTACGACATTTGTAATTAAAAAATCTCATATGCGCTGTATTGTCAATTCTACTTCGTTTCGTTCAACTCAATAAGTATTCAAATATATTTAATGAACGATTCTTTAGAATTTAAAAAAGAAAATTATTTTTAAAAAAGTAAAAAAAATACGTTGAATGAAGTATTATTGAATGACTCTTAAGAATTTCTTTCTCCTTCTTCTTTTTTTGTCTTTCATTACTTTTTTTTATGCGGAACAAGAGCCAGAGAATAAATACAGTTATAGTTACTTATATGCATTAAAAATATATATATTCTATACAAAACACACATGTATATATATATATATATATATATATATATATATATATATAAGTAAAACTCCACCAATCAGTATGTTTACACTACAGAAAAATTCTGCTTTTTCGTGCAACTGCACCACATGCATATATTTCGCGCGCGCGCACACACGCGCGCACACACACACACACACACACACACACACATATATATATATATTATTACATATGGGTGTCAGTTCTAAAATAATTGAAATAGTCGATTAAAAAAATTCCATTATTTTTATATTATCTTGGGAAGAACGTGATGAAGATATATTTTGAATTTATAATAGTGATGAAGCGGAGACAGTAGAGTGAATCAAAATTTATGTCCGACTTTGCTCTCCCATAAATTGCTGGATGTATGATTCATCAATTGAGGTTACGTTCCACGCGATTATACGCCACTGTTGACATGCTTGAATTACAAGGAAAAAGATTAAAAAAAATGTTAAAAAATTAATTTGATCCAGAGACAGGAACGTTTAGGAAAAACACAACGATCAAGATCTCTGAAAAGTTGTCTCGTGCCTTTAAGTGTGTTCATCATCATTTTAAAATTATTCTATAAAAATATGGGCAACTACTAATTAAAATTTATTTTTTGTGCAAATGCATAAATGTCTAATTTAGAAGCGTATCCAACAATAATGATGGGAAGTGCTCCTAAAACGGGTCATCAAATATTTAGAGTATTTGTAAATATAAAGTGAAAATGACCTAATCTGCATGAGAGTAATAGCGGCAAGAGCTACTGCGCTTCAAAGAAGCAAATTATTTTTTATTCAAGAACATGGTACATCCATTATTTATTGAAGATGTTTGGTGCTATTGGGTTATTTCTGTCGGAGCACTATTTTCATTTGTTGGCCTCATTGTTGCTTGTATTTGTAGCTGTCGACGTAACGATAATAAGTAAACAGATATTCTTATTTTCAGTATATTTATCATATCATATTTTAACTATTTTAAAATCTTAATAACAACAAACATTAGATATGAATTAGACGTATCGATATTATTGACATAGAAAATTATTACAAATAGCTTATTAAACAATATTGTCTCAAAAGTATAAATGTTTTTTAAAAATTTTAATTTAAAATAAAAAAAATCTAAATTCAAAATAAAACAATACCTATAGTTTTAACGCGTTTCTTTAAAAATAAATTATATTTTATAAAATTTTTACTCTTTATGCAATGATATATCGAACGTTCGACCAAATTTTGTATTTGCTCTCATATATACCGTTTGGGCTATGAATAATAAAGTTATATTATTCTAGGAGCGAGTTTTTAGGCCTAGCAGGTATGGTAACAATCACACATCCTGACAATGAAGGTCTCAATAGAATTTCATCATCGGAAGCACTTCAAATAATTTCACAAGATACGGTTGATGGAAATGGAAAGAGGTACGTTATTTAAGTTTATCGCGCGATATCACTCCATATGCAGTAAAATTTTTATAAACCGAAACTATTTATATTGTTATTTTATATTGTGACAGTATAATTTTCAATTTTTAAAATTTACAAATTGAGATTTCTTAATAATTATCGTTTCAGCTTTTGTTTTACAGAATTTACAATGTATTTAATATCAATTTTGATAATTTAATAAAAGTTAATAACTTGTTTGACCATGAAATAATATAAATGCTCAAAAATATTTAATTGTATTCTCGATTGATTTTATAATTGTTTAAAAGAATTAAAAAATTTATATAATAAAATTCTTCGCTATGTTAATAAAAATTCATTTTGTTTTTTAGTAAAAATGGAATTATTAATTTTTTATTTATATATTTTTTTTTTTTTTTTTTTTTTTTTTTTTTTTTTTAATAGAAGTACTACAGCAAACAGAAGCTTACCAGATATTCCAAAAGATAAAACTACAGAATGTGAAAATGACGTAGAACTGCGAGATGTAATTTATGAAGTGACGGAAAATATAGGTGATGATCCATCTGAACTTTACGCTACCGTACAAGATAAAAGTAAGGATAACAGATTAATGCTGCTCGCTTGAAAATATTGATAACATGAAAAAAAATTATTTTCATCTATTATTTTTTATTATAGAAGAAGATAGAAAGGATAAACGAATTCCAAAAAGTATATCGCAACAAAGTTCGCAGGATGAAACAACAAGCTTATATGCCAGACTCAAAACTCCACAAACAAGTAGTGGTAAAACTATTTCTTATTTACGTAATACCATATTTTAAAAATTAAAAACTATATTACATTTCATTTCTCTTTCATTTCTGTTTATTTATGTTTTTTTTTTTTTGTCTCGGTTTTGTTCTAGACGAACATCCATACGCTCAAGTACAAACTGTTACAAAAACCGAAAGCACTCAGCACTATAGGTAAATTTTCTAAATCGTTCAACGCTATGTGGATTTGACTTTTCGTATCCTTATTTTTAAATAGCAGCAGCCATGCTGTTGATTTGGCGAAACCGTCAACGTCAGCGAGCGTCAATTTACCGGTCGCTCCACCACGCAGTCGTAGGTCCTCATCCCATAATTCCCTCTTGGAACAACCTGTGCTAGATATACAAGCTGCAACTGCTATTACTGGGGGTATTCAAGCCAATCAAGATTTACCATACATGACACCACCAATACTAATGCCTCTCCCTCAGCCACCTCAGCCTCAAAATAATAGCTTGCAACAGCAACACTTTAGTGGGGATTCGCAGGATTCAAGTATATATATTTTCAGAATATTCTTATAAAAAATAGTTAATAAGAACAAATATATTTTTAAGCAATTGTGCAATAATGATACCCAACTTATAATAGCGAAGGGAAAGTAATTATCTTGATTTTGGTTAAGATATTACATTTTATCATCTAAATGAAATGATCGATTGATTATTTGTAATGTAAGAATGATAATTAAAAGAGAAGGGCTGAATATGAAAATGTATTTTATACTTATATTAGATATTTTTAAAATGTCACTAGTAAGTACGTATGTTTTATTTACAGAAGGTTATACAAGTATAAGTGTAAGAGAGCCGTTGGCCAATATTATTGCACAGACAAAAAATGCTCAACAGCAGAGGCAAGCGACTCGACCTATCATTGATCCACACTATGCAACCGTTTCTGATGATTCTGGTATGGTTTATTGGATTTAAAGCTAAAGTAAAATTCGGCTATTCAGTATATAATATAATTCGTTATATATTATAATTCGAATTTTTTGTGGTCAATATAGCAGCATACGTTGCATCAGTTTAATAATTAAGCATTATGACTTTATGATTCATCTACTTATTTAGATGAAATGTACGCTGCAATTGACGAACAAGATAAAGTCTACACCAGCGGAAGCGAAACATATGCTCAAATACAACCAATGGCTGCGGAAGTAAGCAGGCCACCCCAAAACGAACAACCAATTATACATTTACAAAATTCTTTGCGCGTCGAGGAACCTTATGCATTAGCACCACAGCCTCCAAGCGTAGATAGTCTTAGGCATGTAGCGCACGCACATTCGAGACAAGGTAACCAATTTCCTTAGTAACACTGAATGACTTCACTCACTTCAAGAGATTTGTATTATCTTATAAATATTCCCGCTCGCTAAATGATGTACATAAATAACATTTTTACAGTTTAATGAAAAATAAATAATTAAAACCGAATGCTTGAGAGTTTATTAACTTTTTAAATAATATTTTGCATCTAGAATAATTAATTTTAACCACTTTCGTTATTATAATTTATAAAAGTTTGGTTTCGTGACGTTTCAATTACAATGTGGTACAAATCACAATTAGGCGTATAGTCTCCATAGCTTCCAGCAATACTTAATTTTTCTTCAACATCTGCGGTGGACTCTTATTATCTCTCATCATTTCTCCTCCTTCTCTTTCACTTATTTTTCTCGTGTAAATTTTTGACACAGCCTCTTCATCGAGCGCAACCAGTTCTGTGGCGAATCCTGGTTCGCCAAAGCCAGAAAAACGACAAGCTAATTCTCCACTGCCACCACCCCCTGACAATCTTATGGATATGTACGCAATGATTGACAAGCGCAGCAAAACCGATGACCGCACCAGAGGTAAACTAGATGCTTTAGCTTCTGCGTCATCGATCTTCTTAAATTGCGAATACAATCTTATCGTTTACCAAACAAAGCTTGCAAATTATCGTACACTTATACTCGACTAACGTTATCGCCACTATAAAAATTTAGCATAAAAATTTCGTATTCACAACTTTTAACACTTAGGTAAAATGATCTTGACAGCTATTATTTGATTTTTCATTTCATTCATAGCTTTGCCTCACACGACAATACAATTTAAAACTAAATTCAATTGAAAAATCCATCGATCGATCAATGAATTAACCTTTATTAATTAGAGTTTTTTTTTTTTTTTTTTTTTTTTTTTTTTTTTTTTTTTTTTTACGAAGGTTATTACAGTTAAATAATAACATATCCCCATATTATTATAATTTATAATTTTCAATTGCAAATAGACAAAAATAATAAAGACGATAACAATTCGTAAGTGTTTACTTGTTTCGTCGATGCTTATTTAACATTAAATTTAAATAACTCATCGGTAAAATTATGAATGTATTATTATAAAAATAAACAAACGCTTAATCGCAAGCGTGTGGGAGTAACGTAGTCGAGTGCGTCCAATGATGTGACACCGTTTCCCATAAATACGAAACTACTGATAAAAGGAAAAATGAAACGTGCAGGTAGTGTCACATCGGGAAAATCGCTGGAGGATATGTACGCCAAAGTAATGAAGAAGAAGCGCGAGAGCGGCGACGATGAGATAGCGAGCGGCAGCCCCACGTCTAGCATGACGGCTTTCGTCACAGAATCTTTCGGGGGTATGGGAAGTGCCTCAACGAGTGGCCCACCTGCTGCTCGTCGAAAGCTCAGCTTGATCGAGGTAAGCCGTGCTTCCTGGTCTAGCCACGACTCCGTCGAGATCATGAAACGTGAGCCCGAACACCAGCAGCAGCAGCAGCAGCAGCAGCAGCAGCAGCAGCAGCAGCAGATAATGCACATCAACGGCGAGTCATTCCTGGACGAGTTCGACTTGGATCATGGCTACGAAGCCGTTGTTAATAGATCGACGACGACGATCATGGAGACGCACAAGCGTCCAGTCACGCCCGATGGTGACGCCAATTACGAAACCTTGAGACCCCTGCCGCAGCCGCACGTTGGCGGTCCCGTTGGGTCGACTTTGACGAGGAACGGTATCGATCCCCTCATACCCATTTACTCGATGCCTTTCAAGCATCGACAGGTAAATATACTATACGACCACCTCGACTCGAAACCCGTAAGCTCAAAACTCACGCGGGCGCACCATCCTCAGGTGAGCAACGCGAGCAGCGAGGATCCAGGCTACGAGAAGGTAAGACTGCGCAAGAGGCCGATCGCGAGCAACGACGACCTCGACACGGACTCCGAGCCAAATTACGAGAGCATGCCCCACGAGCCGGCGGAACCCAACTACGCCTCGGTCGCCTTCAGACCCAGCACCGACAGCGACACCGACCCGAACTACGAGAGCGTAAGCAACGGGGATCCCAACTACGAGAGCGTCAAGTACATGAGTCTCGTACAGCCTAGCGGCGGCAGCGATGGCGACGACGGCCACGGCGACGGCGACGATCAATGTCATCTCGAGCCACCGTACGAACGAGTCGCCAGCTACAAGAACCACGACGATCCGAATTACGAGAGGATACAGAGAGGCGGCAGGGAGTCGAGAGCGGCCGAGGCGAGTGGTGGCGTCCACGCCGATACCGACGACGAGCAGTACGTCCAGGTCTAACCTTAATCGTGCTCGAAGCTCCCTTTGCGAGACTCTTTCAGTTCTCGATTGCTGCTTTCGTTAAATTTATTACGTCCAGGATGCTTGAAAAAGGCCTTTAGAACAAAAATCGGAATGCTGCTTTACAGTCAAACCCTATGCATAATTTAGTTCCAAATCATTCCGTAAAGATTATATTTTTTTAATAAATCGGTGTTCTAAACGTCCGTTCCATGATATTTTTTTATCGTATACGTAAGTCGTCGTTTGCGACGACAAATGTGCTTATCGCGAATTTCGAGAAGCTCGTGATGTTGCTATTCCTTGGTAAGAAAATTCTGGGAATATTGAAAATATTGAGAAATATTGAAAATAGTAAAGCTTCGATATTAATATTTGAAGTCTATTGACTCAAACATCTTAAAATAATATAATCTGATAAATAATTTATAGAATGCTTTATTGTGCAAAAGGGAAAGGCTATTTTGGCTTATGTCTTGGTCCGTTTGAATCTTGCATATTCCGAAAAATTATTCTTACGATTAAGCAAAGTATTCGAACTTATGGAAATAAGTTGTTTGATAATAATTTTATATTTTTAATGATAACAATGACTTCGTTGCGACGAAGTAAAAAAACGCTGAAGGATACTCGTTAGCTTTAAAGTATTTACATAAATGGTCTAATATTTCTTTAAGTCCATGATCATTCTTTTCATGATGTTCGAGATTCCGAGAATCTCTCGTGTATATTATAGGTCTCGGGAATTTTTCAAGCGTTAGAATTTCTTGGAAAATCCCGTTAGATAACGTCTAACCGTCGTTAGACGTCTGGAAAAAAATCGTTACGTCCGGGGAAAAAAATGTCGTTAGACATGTTTCTAGCACCACGATCGCATCCATTGTTATCAGCACTAACTAAGCTGTCGCGTGGATATTTAAAGCAAACACGCTTCGAGAATGCGCTCTCTCACCATGGGTCATGGCGTCACCGTGGTAGGCACAAGCTCTCTCAACGTAAGGCCACCATAGAAGGAACACGCGTCGTTATTCTGTGCGTATTAATAGACGTAGTAAACAACGTAGTGACCCATCTACTCCCTTACAAGAAAAATATTCAACTCGTTGTCACGGAGTGTGCAAAGTCCATTGCTAATCCTTACAAGATCAGCAACAGCATCGTTACCGTCATCGCGGAGCCTCTCGTGATGATAAACTGTTCAGCACATGATCAGATAAATAATACAACTGCATCACCGTGTAATTTAACATACTGTACACTCTTCCATCACATAAATCCAACGGAACAATAATTTAATGGCAAATAAACCATAATAAACCATAATAAACCATATTTAACGAAGTATCCACACACACACGGTTCTTCCCAAGAATTCCTCCAGGGCGGGTGGTAAATTATAATAATGTTATGGAACACCATTGCATTGTTCAACGCAATTGACATTAATATTTAATAATTTATTGATGCGCACAGTTTACAGATAAATGCAATGAAAAATTTGATATAGTCACGATATAATTCAAATGTAGTTTTCCAATTGGATTGAATAGTAAAGTGTAAGTTTACATTTTATATATTTTATAATAATACAGAGCTGTAAACTAGATATTTTCATATTATTGTATCGGTAATTACCACTTAATAACTTTAATAAAATATTTGCATTACTTTCAGTAAACATTATATTTTCACGTATCAATTTAAACTAAATAATTTTGTTAAAAATATTCTTCTTCGATATACGCATACATACGCATCTTTATAGAAATAATCAATATAAGGAACTTATTAATACCAGTTTATAGTATGTTTTCCACTTGTGACCAGTATTTGTTTATAAATCCGTATTCAAATTATATATTTTCTATAAATTATATATTTTCTTTTTTACTTAATGTAATATTTCATATGAAAGTAATTGCTTTATATCGTGATCCTGTGATGAACAACAGTTCACTCATTCTTCACGAGAGGCTTATTCTTAACGATATTGTTGCTCACATTCTGAGGATTAGCAATGGACTTTGTAAAGATTAATGAGTAATTACAAAAACATTAAATTATTAGGAACTTGAGTATGAGATCGTAGATGAGACGTCCCATAATATGCATTTAGAACACAGTAATCAAAATAAACTTTGTCTGTAAAATCTATTTGAAATTAGTTTCTTAATTATTTCGAATTTTAATTAGTTATTAATGAATATAATTATGTCAAGTTAATTACATACAGTATGCTTTAAAAGATAGTATTGAATAAAAAATGTAAAGATTTACATAATGTACAAAAAATTTCAATTAAAGCGAATCGAGCATATCTATAGAAAATTATAGGTGGGTATAGAAACTTTATATAATGTAACAAACGAATGTATTTGAACAAATGAGAGAACATTATTTCTTTATTTTTTTAGTTTTATTTAATTATGATTTTATAGAAAAAGATAAAATCAGATCTGCTTGTTCGACGCTTCTACGCTTGACCATCGGACTAGATTTTACTTAAAAATTTATATATTCTTTTAAGCGTTTAAACTGAAACATTCTAAATAATATAATAGTAGACATTACGTAGAAAGGATCGTATTTGGCTGTCTATAATCACACTTTAGCGTACGTGATAAATATGATAAGAACAATAACCCGTTCCTGTATACGATCCTACAAAATTGTAATTTATTAGACACAATCATGTAAAATTATCAATAATTGTATATAATCTTAGCACCATATACATCTAATCCATATACATTAACCGAAGCTAATATATGCTAAAATTATATTTTTTCTATTATTTATAAATAAATTTATATAATTTGTTAATTAATATATTTCCAAAATTATATAAATATAGTAATGATAAAATTATTTTAAATAAGTGTTATGCATGCTTATATAAATTATTTATAAACTCGTGTATTATTTAATTCAATTGTTTTTGTATTATTTTATATTTAATTTTTAATGTATTATTTAATCAGGATAGTGTATTTTAAGCTTAAAAATATAATTTGATAATTAATAATATCTATAGAATTTTATTTTAAAAACATTTTTTAAAAACAATTTTTATATAAATATCGTCTTTCATCTACCATAGATATGTATAAAAACTAATTTAGTAAATAGAAAAATAATAATTAAAATACATTACTCCATTTTGGAATGTAGCTGTGCCTATTTAAACTTTTCGTGAAATATTTATTGATATTAAAAAATTAATAAAGCCTGTTAAATATATTATAATCAGAGATTATAAGTTAGAACATCTACGATACGTTACGGCCCAAGCAATAACCAAAAATAGACAAAAGTAAATATTAAAATTGATAGAACGCAATATTTTTACATTCTACTTTTATGTTGTCAAATTCTGCATATTTATTAAAATTAATGCTCAAAAAAGTATTGTTCAACGAGTAAAAAATTTCTCGTAGCAATACATTTTCACTTCCAATGTAGTTTGCAAATATTATAAAAATATTAAACAAAAATTACTTATTTTAATTAAATGTAAAACCACACTATGTAATAGTTGATAACTTTTCAATTGTAATGGATTATTTGTATGCTGCACAACATAGATTGTATAATCGTTATTTCTATGGGGGCAATATTACTTTAGCAACTATATATATTTAAAATTGTGACTATAAAGAATATAAATAATATATTCAAACAATTTTTGATAATATAGGCTTAATGCTTTTAATGTGTAAATAACAAGTTGATCGTAAGATTAATCGATATTAATGCGATTACCTAAATAATTATATTCTTGAAAGGAATAGCGTTAAATTTTCTTAATTATAAATTTTTTGTGAAGATTCAGTTATTTGTCATTTAACGATAAAATACAATTTCGTGTAAGATAAATTTATCAAAAATTTCCTTCTGGATATTAGATAATTTCATAGATAGAAATACAAAGATTAATTGTTTATGCATAAAAACTATTCATACAGCTTATATATATATATATATATATATATATATCTTATTCTACAAATACTAAAATTAAAAAGTTACGATAAATATATTATTTTAAGAATAAACAAATTACTCAACGATTGTGTTTCAAAGAGTACTTTTAATGATTACTAAATGAATATGCATAATAATTGTGATAAATTTATATATAACTCGAACAAATAATAAGCTTTTAATAAAAATTTATAACGTTAATGACAAAGAAAGAAAAAATTAATTTTATTCGACAGAAAACTGACCCTTTGATAATGGTACATGTATGTACAATTTGTACCATGATTTGTTGATTTGCGAGATCTTTTTTATTATATATATATATGTAAAAAACTTTTTATTTTTATAAAGGAGGGTTAAGGCTGATAATAAATATTATGTGCAAGCTTTTACACATAAAATATCTCTTATTACATAAATTATATATACAAAATTATGAAATCTAAAGTAATATTTTTCTCTTTGTAAATGGAATATGTAGCACATATTTTAATTCCATTAATTTTATTTATCTTATACTAAGTATATTAAATTAACAAAAAATTAATTAAAAATTACATATATATATATATATATATGTGTGTGTGTGTGGGTGTGTGG